TCATCCAAACACAATGGGCCTAACCATTAAATAGTAGCTATCAGATACTTGTTATAAATACTGGGTCTGACTGCGATTGAGTTAGCCAGTGACCTTATAAGAGTTAAAGTCAATAGCAATTAGTCTAATATTGCTACAATGCACTGAATTCCTGTGTTTGATTTGACCTATAAGTCCAACATACTATTAAGACTGAGTAAGAGCAGGAGAGTTTACTAATGTAGAACTAAATGAAAATCATACAACTTTTGTGCAATCACCTTCTTGTAACTTTTGTTTGAAAGTTGATGTTTGAAATATGCCAAATAGAAAGTAATGTAGTAACAAACTCAGTTAAATAAGATGTAACAGCCCATGTTTTAAATGTAAATCAACACTTACAACAGTGGCATGGAATTTACTTAAAATATTTGTGATTCAAATAAGCGAACTTGTATTCATGAACAAATTTACGAATAAAATTCAACATGTGTGTATCATGATCCATCTTCATGCTGGTGCATATTTTTATGCTAACGGTTGTACAGTGGAGTTAATTAACACATTTAATCGTGGATATCTCAATATATTTACATATATATATCTCAATATTGAATAGGTTAAACAGTATTTATCACAAATGGTAAGCTAGTTATTGATCAATTGTAAGCAGTTGGATGGGAGACACCTGTAGCCAATGATATAGCGGCTGCATTTTTATAGAAATTGGAATAAGTGCTCACTGGCTTTAAGCATTGTCTTTAAGGCATGGTCTTATTACCTGGAGGTACACAGGTATGTAACATTATTTACAAGTACATGTACTGTGAACAGAAAGAGTAAGCTGGCTTAAAAAATCCTGTTCATCTTTAACTCTTGTTACATGTAATACAATTTGATATAGAATTATGACATAATCTTTGGCAGTCAGTATTTTGTACTTCTAGTAAAATCAAGATCAGAATGAACATTTTTCTGGAGTCACCTAATTACAATGAATAGTGATTGCAAAATAATTTCAATTTTCAAATTTATCCTACATTTGAAAATTGTTTAATTTGATTTGCATATAATCCCATTGATTATAATCGAAGTTAAATAGTTTTGAAAAGAAGTAGAGTTATTAAATGTTTTACGTAATAACAGATGGTTTGAGATACTAGGATGAATTGTAGATGAGTGAGATCACCCTCTGTACTCAAGGGGTTATACTCACTATCTCTCTCTGTTCCCCTTTAACATTTCCTGTTAAAATTGAAGGCATAAGTCAAGTAATTTGGTTGGTCTAGAGTGGGTTTCAGCCGTAAAACACTGACCAATCATAGACTGATACGCTCCATTGAAGATTTCAAAGCAGTGACAGTCAACTTCACAGCCATGGCCAGTCCGTGTACAAGATACCATTTGTGACCTCAAGATTTGTTTGATTGACATCAAAGAATCAAACTAATCTTGTCACATCCACCAGGTGTTGCACATGGAATATTCAATTTGTCCATGATATGTTCGAGGGATGCAGAAAGTGATACAGAGCATAACCCGGGAGTATCAAGGATGGAGTGAAGTCTGACTGATTGATTGTTCTAGCCATGGTCACAATATTTCTTATTAATACTTCTTGTTGCATTTACACAAACCTTGATAGAAAACATTGGACATTATTAACTCACCTGACTCTGAAGGGCAAAGTGGGATACCTTGGTCTGAAGCATCTTTAGGGGATGTGAAACCAATTTTGTACCAATGATTGGTCTCGGCCCCTTGGACCAGAAGATTGGGGCCCAGTTGGAAGAACCTTTCAATTCCTTTAAAATCTATCTAAATGTTTTTCAGGAATTGTAGTATATTGGCCAAATTTGGCTTGAAGCATGCTTGTGTGAAGAGAAATCATTTTTATATAAATGATGTGTATCATCTCCATGGGGTCAGATGGCAGGGGCCCAATAGGGAGAGTCTGTCAAATTCTTGTTCTTCAGAATTTGCAGAAAAATTTCCTAATTAGGTAAAGCGAAATCAGTTTTATGTAAACGATGGGTCTTGGTAAAGAAAACTTTATTTTGTACAAACAGTGCATCTAACCCCATTGAAAGGAGGGGTGAGCTTAATACAAGGAAATAGATGCATGTATTTTAAATACATTAATCCTTTACCTTAAATTAATCAGTTTCAGCAAAATGAACTAGGAGAGCAATACGGGCCATATGGGACTTTTGTTCTAATTGTAGATTCCAGAGGACTAATTAAAAAAACAATAGTTACTAGATACATGTAAACAATGGTTTACTGGCCTGATGTTGATGTAAAGGTTACTGTACAACCATGTACCTTGGGTTACTGTACAACCATGTACCATGGGTTACTGTACAACCATGTACCATTGGTTACTGTACAACCATGTACCATGGGTTACTGTACACCATGTACCATGGATTACAGTACAACCATGTACCATGGGTTACTGTACAACCATGTACCATGGTTACTGTACAACCATGTACCATGGGTTACTGTACAACCATGTACCTTGGGTTACTGTACAACCATGTACCATGGGTTACTGACCTGACATTGATGTAAAGGTTACTGTACAACCATGTACCAAGGGTTACTGTACAACCATGTACCATGGGTTACTGACCTGATATTGTTGTTGGTTATGGTTACTGTACAACCATGTACCATGGGTTACTGTACACCATATACCATGGGTTACTGACCTGACGTTGATGTAAAGGTTACTGTACAACCATGTACCATGGGTTACTGTACCACCATATACCATGGGTTACTGACCTGACATTGATGTAAAGGTTACTGTACAACCATGTACCAAGGGTTACTTTACAACCATGTACCATGGGTTACTGACCTGACATTGATGTAAAGGTTACTGTACAACCATGTACCAAGGGTTACTGTACAACCATGTATCATGGGTTACTGTACACCATATACCATGGGTTACTGACCTGACGTTGATGTAAAGGTTACTGTACAACCATGTACCATGGGTTACTGTACCACCATGTACCATGGGTTACTGTACAACCATGTACCATGGGTTACTGTACAACCATGTACCATGGGTTACTGTACCACCATGTACCATGGGTTACTGACCTGACGTTGATGTAAAGGTTACTGTACAACCATGTACCATGGGTTACTGTACCACCATGTACCATGGGTTACTGTACAACCATGTACCATGGGTTACTGTACAACCATGTACCATGGGTTACTGTACAACCCTGTACCATGGGTTACTGTACAACCATGTACCATGGGTTACTGTACAACCATGTACCATGGGTTACTGTACCACCATGTACCATGGGTTACTGACCTGATGTTGATGTAAAGGTTACTGTACAACCATGTACCATGGGTTACTGTACCACCATGTACCATGGGTTACTGACCTGATGTTGATGTAAAGGTTACTGTACAACCATGTACCATGGGTTACTGTACCACCATGTACCATGGGTTACTGACCTGATGTTGATGTAAAGGTTACTGTACAACCATGTACCATGGGTTACTGTACCACCATGTACCATGGGTTACTGACCTGATGTTGATGTTGGTTATGGTTACTGTACAACCATGTACCATGGGTTACTGTACCACCATGTACCATGGGTTACTGTACCACCATGTACCATGAGTTACTGTACAACCATGTACCATGGGTTACTGTACCACCATGTACCATGGGTTACTGACCTGACGTTGATGTAAAGGTTACTGTACAACCATGTACCATGGGTTACTGTACCACCATGTACCATGGGTTACTGACCTGACGTTGATGTAAAGGTTACTGTACAACCATGTACCATGGGTTACTGTACCACCATGTACCATGGGTTACTGTACCACCATGTACCATGGGTTACTGTACAACCATGTACCATGGGTTACTGACCTGATGTTGATGTAAAGGTTACTGTACAACCATGTACCATGGGTTACTGTACAACCATGTACCATGGGTTACTGTACAACCATGTACCATGGGTTACTGACCTGATGTTGATGTAAAGGTTACTGTACAACCATGTACCATGGGTTACTGTACCACCATGTACCATGGGTTACTGTACCACCATGTACCATGGGTTACTGTACCACCATGTACCATGGGTTACTGACCTGATGTTGATGTAAAGGTTACTGTACAACCATGTACCATGGGTTACTGTACAACCATGTACCATGGGTTACTGTACCACCATGTACCATGGGTTACTGTACAACCATGTACCATGGGTTACTGACCTGATGTTGATGTAAAGGTTACTGTACAACCATGTACCATGGGTTACTGTACCACCATGTACCATGGGTTACTGACCTGATGTTGATGTTGGTTATGGTTACTGTAAACCATAAAGCTATGGAGAGGTTTAATTTTTTTAGATTTCATGATGATCCTTGATACGATAAAAAACAAAAAAAATCACAATAATTTGAAAAAGAGTGAATTTCTGTTTATCCTTTAAATCAAGTGCTGACCAAACAGTATCATTTTTTTAAAGAACCACAAAATTTGAGTCCCATGAACAATCCGAGTATGGATATCAAGCTCTAGCTAAAAGCATCATGACCTAAAGAAAGAATTAGAGGAACAATGTGTGTAGCTGTAATTGTTAATGATAAAATTTCGGCCAAACTGTTAAAAATGTCTACCAGTAATTTAACAGTGTGAGATAAAATCTCATTTGACACGGATGTTTTACAAAATAATGAACCCTAATTGATTAATGTAATACTCAACTGACTGAGCTGAGTTGAGAATTAGCCAATATTTTGGCATTGTTACAATTCTACATATTATTGTTACAAATAAAGTCTCTCTGATGCAGATAAGTTGATTTTAGTGTTGTGTGTAAGGTGATCACATTTATGTTTTTTCCTTTTCAGGTTAATAAAGAGTTAAAAGAAAAAGAAAAAAGTTGAAGAATTTCTATATAGCCATCATGGTGTATATAGGGGAGGATTTGTGCGAGATTTGTGTTTCACAATTTAAAGACTTGTTATTCTTATAGAGTCAGTGTACTGTTCAAAATCCTATTTTCTTCCAACTATCAGCATGGTTCAGATTGAGGAATTTATTATAGGAGCTGTCAGCACCAGCTGTGCAGGGTTTTTCACTAATCCGTTAGAAGTAGTTAAGACTCGTATGCAGTTGCAGGGAGAACTTCAAGCACGTGGAAAGTACACCGTCCATTACCGTAATGCCTTACATGCATTTTACACCATCGCCAAAAACGATGGATTCATCAAGCTTCAAAATGGCCTCATTCCTGCCCTCTGGTATCAAATGACAATGAATGGAATTCGTCTGGGTACATATCAGGTCATCGTGAACTCTGGATTTACCAAAGACAAAAAGGGAGATGTGGTCATTTACAAAAGTATACTTGCTGGTGCTCTATCAGGATGTGTGGGTGCCTGCATGGGAAGTCCATTCTACATGGTAATCAGAAAAGATGAAATACCAAGTCAAAGTATTTACATAAATAATTTGATGAAGCAATTTTAAGTTATTGCGCATATGCTTGTCCAAACATCTTAACATTTGACATCTTAAATTTATTAATACAAGCATATTTTGTGTTGAAGTTTCTTGCATGAGTTAAGGCCCTTTTCTTATTATCATGTATTTTGTGGTATCTCTGAATGGCTTGAGTCCATGCTGTATTAATTGTTCAGTATTTGAATCTTTGTGCTGTTGCACAGTTTTCTTGCTTCTTAAAATGGTTTTGTATGTTGTAGGTGAAAACACATCTTCAGTCTCAGTCTGTGCAGCAGATAGCTGTTGGATACCAACATGATCATCAGAGTATGCTGGGAGCATTTCGCTCAGTGTACGGCGAGGGTGGAGTTCTTGGGCTTTGGAGGGGTGCTATGGCATCAATGACACGAGTCATGGTCGGGTCTGCAGTGCAGCTGACTACTTTCTCCAAAGTGAAGGAGGCCATTGCCAGAAAACAGGTCAGTGTCGTATGATAAAGGTTATATTTTCCATAGACATCTCATGGATGTGCAGACTATTTTCTAGTTGTTCTGGTCCGTCCAAAGTGATATCGGGACCTCATTAAAAATAAAAAGCTTGTGTACAAGGTGTCTGTGAACTTCAACAGTTATTTATGATATTCTTTCCATAACTTCTCACCAAACTCAAACAGAGGATACAGTATAGATTGTAATACATGTAAATGTGGTTTCACTGTTGACTGACTTCGTAAATAGTGAAGTAAGTGATAAAATGCATGTGATATAATGTAAATGTGGTAGCATTGTTGAAAATGTTGTCTTTAATCACTAAGATAGATTGATATTGTACATTTTCAGGTGTTTGCAGAGGGAAGTGCCTTTGTTTCACTGTCGGCTAGTACAATAAGTGGTGTAGTGGTGACGTGTTTCATGACTCCTTTCGATGTGGTGTCCACTCGGATTTATAACCAAGGTCTAGACTCTCAGGGAAAAGGCCTACTCTACAACGGAGTAGTTGACTGTTATTTAAAAATCTTCAGGGAAGAAGGACTTTGGGGATTTTATAAGGGGTGGGGACCTTCGTTTCTCCGCTTAGTACCTCATACAATGCTCAGTCTTATGTTCTGGGATCAGCTGAGAGACATTTACACAAGATTTAAAATTAGAAATGTATGATAATGTGAAAATTAAAGTGTTCACAACTTTTGAACACATGAAAATACCTTAATAGTTTCACATTTTCCAGACAATGAAATAGTTTTGGATTTTAAGGATATAAAAATCATGTAGAATTTTGAAGTGATATTTAAAATGTTTTTTTTTTTTCTGTTATACAAAGTTTGGGGACTTAGTTATTGTTTTCCCCTATTTTTGTGTATATAAGTATTTTTTTACTTATTACATTGGATTTTTTTTCGTTAGATTATTCTTGCTCTGTAACTCTTCAGTCTCATTACTAACTATGACATTTTTACATTGAAATACATCTGAAAGGGATTTATGTGGGATACTCTTGTTTTAAATGCTGATTAGAATTCATTAAATGTTTTTACATAGAGATATACTAACATTCAAACAAACTGTCAATATTGATAAGCTCAGCGCTTGTGGCACATTTCTAGTCAAAGTAAGTTTAATATTGACTCTTGTGTTTTATTATTTGTTCACTGCAAGTAAAATTGGTGCTCTTGGGGTTGGATGTTGGACCAAAGGATTGCTGAATTTGGAATGTGGTTATAGCTCTCATTTGTTATCCCCCTTTTAGACAGAGTTATCCCCCTTTTAGACAGAGTTATGGTTCTTTTAACATTCATCTGGTATGTCAGAGACCTTATACTAAAAGTGTAAGTTTTTTATGCACTGAAAATACAATCTTGTTAACATTGATTGCTTAGAATGTAAAAGAGAGAAGTTGTTCACATGTGACAAGAAGGTACAAACTTAGGAGAAGTGAACACAGATAAAATTTGGTAATCATATATTGATCTGTTTTGGAGATATTGACAAATTTTAGTAAAGAAATTTGATTTATTTTGCAACAATTGCGAAACAAGTCTTTCCAACTCACATTAATTACACTTGTTGGCGCTGATGGAAGTGTGTAAGGGGTCTTACTGTTGAAGGAATCCAGTGTACCCGGGGAAAACCCATGTGGTCGGGCAGATGACCCTGTACCTTTTCATGTCTGTTCTGGGAAATAAACCCTTGACGTCTAGATGAAAGCCAAGTGTGTTACCATTATGCTACCCGACCACTTAATATATTCACTGTCCCTATATAAGGTATGTATTGTATGGGAGGCGAGTCATCATAGTAGCTAACTCTACAGTGAGAGCTATAAATAGATCCATGTTGTTGTTATACAGTACATCTTTCATTTGCTTATGTTAATCTCATTACATTTTAAGCAAAATTTTTTAAGCCATATCTGGACTAAACAGGATAAGGTTAAATGTACTAATTACTTACATTGGAGCTAAGAGACATAATGTCTATAGGTCAAGTGATGACATTCCTCACACACACATTATGTGTATAACATTTGTTATGTGGTGTAACAGCTACAGTTGTCATTTAATGATAGTTATAGGACTTAAGGCCATTGCAGCTATTTAGTAATGTGCATTGATCTTTTTATCATATCTGTGTATTTTATCCTCAAGAGATGACTGAAGTCATTGAAACTTAGAAGATTCCATGTGTTATATTTGTTATTATATTATGTATTACTACAAACACGTAGCATGTCAGTTGGTGAACTGATAAGATTACAGACAGATCAGTTGTGTGGCAATTGTTACACATCTGTATAAAGTGATGTCATGTCTCTCAGTCACAACAGTTATTTATATTAGCATTGTGTATTGGCCATTGTCTGTGCAATGTCCCAGTCATATTGCATATACTTTGGCTTTATGCTCATCATTGTTTAACATAAAGAAAATATTATGTTTATTTCAAAATTTCCTTATTCCTCATTGAGACCAAAATTTGGCAGTTTGTTATAACCAAAACTTTTTGTCACTGTGACCTACTTTTGTACATTTAAAAATTAAACTCAGTTTTATGATTTGGGTTTCTGCATGGAGAAGCGAATAAGTTGCCTTGGACCTTTGAGGTCATTGGCCTCTTGTTTGATTATGCCTTGAGGTATTGAACTGAAATTGATGAAGGGTTTTGTATGTTGCAGAAACCTTCAGTTTCTTTTTATTATAACTCTTTTTAGGTCATCCACTGTGCGCCGTCCGCCGTGCGTAAACTATTCATTCAAACAACTTCTTCTCAAATACTAGAAGGTCTAGGGGGCTAATACTTGGCACAGAGGATACTGGCATTGAGCTCTACCAAGTTTGTTCAAATGAATGACCTTGACCCACTTTCAAGGTCACAGGGGTCAAATATGTTAAAATATACAAACGACTTCTTCTCAACAAGCAAAAGTCCATGAGTGCTGATATTGGGCCTGTAAGATGCTTGGAGGAGAGGCTACCAAGGTTGTTCAAATGAATGACCTCAACCCACTTTCTAGGTTTGGCTTGCTTTTTGTCAGATGACCGTTAAGGCCCATGGGCCTCTTGTTATAAGCTTGCTGGAGATATCCATGTGGAAATCTGATTAGTGCTTGTTATTTTTCCAGAGTTACAGCCCAATAATCTTTCAGCAATTTTGCTTTGGCACATGAATAACTTCATCAAGAATTGTACTAGACTTGGTTGTTTCATAGCTATCCTTATGCTATTGAGCTATATCACAGTATATATACATGTATAATTATGATGAAATATTTATATTGTACAAGGAACGTAATCAGATGTCAGGCCATGTGTTCTGACATCAAGTCTTGTGTTCTGACATCAGTCTTGTGTTCTGACATCAGGCCTTGTGTTTGTGTTCTGACGTCATATGTTCTGACATCAGTCTTGTGTACTGACATCAGGTCTTGTGTTCTGACATCAGTCTTGTGTTCTGACATCAGGCCTTGTGTTCTGACATCAGGTCTTGTGTTCTGACATCAGTCTTGTGTTCTGACATTTGGTCTCGTGTTCTGACATCAGGTATTGTGTTCTGACATCAGGCCTTGTGTTCTGACATCAGATCTTGTGTTCTGACATCAGGTCTTGTGTTCTGACATCATTTTTGTGTTCTGACATCTGGTCTTGTGTTCTATCAAAATAAAGAAGAATATTTACATTGACATGTAGATGTTTCTGGTTTACTTTCATGAACTTTAACTATTATTGGTAGGTCAAACATTATGGAATAACAAGCATGACTGAAACCAATTTTATATGTCATTATCAATAATTGATAATTTGCTTTTGTGATAGTCTTTTCCTGCCCTTCCCATCCCTTGTATATAGTGTTTCATATGATCTCTGTCACTCATTTTAGAATTTGCTTCTATGGCTCAGTCGGGAGAGCTGTGGATTATTATGCTGGAGATCTGGGTTCAATTCCTGTTAGACCACTTATTAAGAATGTGTATTTTTCCCTGTTCCCTCACACTTTCATCATGGGTGAGATTTGTTCAATATCACATTGATGCATTTCCAATTGATGTGTTCAAATGCATTCATAGTGTAGAGTCTGACTTTTGTGTCAGAGTTTAATTTATATTCAGAATCAAATGTTTTTTCCACTTCATCTGATACAAAGTGCCCTGGTCTTTTATAACTGAAACTTTCAGTTAATTTGTCTCGCCGCTTGAAGGTGTAAGGTTTTTATTGAATTATGTAAATTAAAACATTACAACCAATAGATTTGCATGAAGTCATTCAGGTGCAAAAATTGACTGGCTAAATGTTTTCATCTCATTCTATACATTGGATGTATACTAGTTTAATCTTGTATTAAATCGTTCAATATCTCCTATAATGACCAATATTTGGTTTAACCTTATCCAGATTCTATATTTAAGTTCAACTCATGTTAGTTGAAGTTCATACATGTATCTACTTAAAAGATTCAAGGTGATTCATGAAGTTATTATATTTTGATTAAATGATTCAGTATACATACATAATATATTTTCAAGTCATTTTGAATATGGTACACTTAGTAATGTGTCAGATTTTGACTCATCATTTTATCTAGAATTTTCCAAGTACAACTAGTACCTCAATGATTCTTTTTTATCAGGATTTCTCAGACTTTTCTCATGATGTAATAAAAACGTGTCTCTTGGTTTCAAGGAAAAAAATTTTACGGTCTTGTGAATGTACCAAGATATAGTGAAAATGTAATCTTCGCCAATATATACAGTAGATATTGTGAGTCTGGTGGCATCCAGATGGTTGCTTTGGATTCTAGGGTCAACTATTCTATCTCTCCAGCATTGAGCATGCCTGGTTATATATGTATTACTATTTAGTAGTGATGTCAATAGACATACATTTCAATGTCCTGTAATAAGCCCACCCCTGATTTTTAGTCAGAGGTCAGGGTTGGGCTTCAGTACTTGTTGCAGGATAGCACAGTACCTGTATTGATTTGATATTTCTTTGAAAGGACTGGTCTGGTCTTTCATGGGTGATATTTCTGTAACATGAGAATTGTTACAGTCCTTATAACGATCTCATTGAAAAATATTCTATTTGTGCGTTATGAAGCTGAAGGGGACTGGTGCTTATTATTTGACCTGTTGGTTCTGTTTATATACCCTGTTCTCAGTGGAGAATATGGCATTACTTACCTGGATTGAAGAAGATTTACAGGTGTCATCAGTGAAACACAAGACACCCTTTTGGAACAACTGATCGTATTTCCACTGTACTTGTTCAGGAGTCTATGTGTAAATCTTTCTTTTGTTCATATTTTGCGCTAGTTTTATTGAATTTGACTTTGAAGTCGGTAGCTTCTTTTCTGTTTTTATTTATAGGCAATATTGGGTGGAGGCATCACTTCTATATCTTAAATGTATTGACCTTATTATAGTTTATTTACACATGAGCTGTTTGTTAGCTTTTTCCTCAGAGATTCACTTGGATATAAATGGTCAGTTATCTTTCCTGAAAAATTGTTTTTTTTTTAAATTGCACTGTGACTTTCCATATGTCCATTTGTCTGTAAACAATTTTTGTTATCGCTATTTCTTTAGAAGTACGGGATGGATCTTTCATAAATTTCTTATGGTTTCCCTTGGTCCCTAGTTGTGCTTGTTTGATTTTGGATCTGATCAGAAAAACAAAATTGCTGACAGGCAGCCATCTTAGATACCATTAGAGTTTGTTATTGATATTATGTGCAAAGTACTAGATGGATCTTTCTTTAAATTTTATATGTAAGTTTCCCTGGTTTG